GGTTGTGGCCCAACGCCGCAGCCATTGACCTCTGGAATTTTCGTCGCCATATCCATGGGTGCCTACAAATCGAGACGAAACATCGTTGACTGTCCGAGATGTGCCTGTGGTTGCTTGCTCCGACCGCGGTTGTGCACCAACCTGGGCGTTGAAGTCTGCAGCAAGAATGGCCCGTATGTTGCGCGTGCGGGACTCCTTGAGCATGGCGCCAATCCCGTCGTACATGCCTTGTATGTGTGCATCGGTATACCCGGTATGCGGAAAGTCTGCTGAGACCAACTGTATTCGGATGCGCCCCTTTTTGATGATCATTGCAGCGAGCCTCGCATTGACGGCCTGGAACTCTGATATGTAAGACTGCCAGCGTTTGTGCACGAGGATTGCGACACCATGGCACTGCTGGTCGTTTCCAGAGCCTGCGAAAGTGTGCCCCTCGCCCGCAATCCACAATCCCTTTTGCTCTGTCCTCCAAGTTTCGTTGATAAGGATCATGTCCCGATGCTGATTCTGCACGTCGTGTAGGAGTTCCTCGATGCGGTCATCACTTTCCAATGACCTCGCATTTTCCATGGATGATGGTGGGTGCGGTGCAGCCCCTGCTCTTGATGGTGGTTGCTGGCGGTGCCGGGGGAGCTTGGTCGGGACGGGAAGGAGGCAGTGGTTGGGCATGAGAGCGGGGGCCGTCGTCGTCGTCGTTGTCGTCGCGTTCTGTTCGTCCCTGGCGAAGCGGCAGAGATCGGAGAGATGCCATCGGGAAACCGCTGTCTGCGCCGCCGGATTTTCCTCGTCCTCCTCCTCCCGCACGTGGCGGTGGTCCTCGAAGGACAATGGTTGGATTGACTCGCAATGCTGGTCGGTGGTGGTCGATCCCGGTCGGTCTTACTGCTCGTGTGTCGATGCTGTTGAGCTGTGGGATCCAAGACGTCAGACTCGTGGTGCGATGACTCGCGTGGGCCGTTGGTCTGTTCGCTCTGGGAGGAGCGGGTCAGAGGGAGGGGCTGGGTAAGGCAAGTGTGAAAGTCGTCGTCTGCGTCGACGCGTCCGCCAAGTTCATGAAATGATGGTCGTAATCGCAATGATGCGATAGGGAAGTCGCCTTCTACATTTCTGTGCCCTCCTCGTCCTCCTCTTCTGATGGGTGTTGGTGGTTGTGTGCGGGGGTCGGTGTTTGGTATGGTTGGTGTTGCTGGTCGGTGCTGGTCAGTCTGGTTGGGTGTGGACGTCGCTGTTGGTGACCTGCGGGGGTCGCTGCTGGTCGGTGTAGGTCGGTCTGGTGGTGGAAGTTGGTGGTCGGTTGTTGGGTTGTTTGGTTGATCGCTGGTCGGAACTGGTCGTCTGTGGAGGTCGCTGTTGGTCAGTTTTGATCGGTCGGGTAGTCGGAGCTGGTGGTCGGTGGCTGGGCTGGTCGGCTGGTCGCTGGTCGGCGCTGGTGGTCTGTGGAGGTCGCTACTGGTGGTCAGTGGTAGTCGTTGCTGGTTGATGCCGGTTGTCGGTGGTCGGTCTAGTGGTCCGTGTTTGGATTGGTCGAATTGTCTCTGGTCTGGTCGAGTTGGCGCTGGAGTTGTACGAAGTCTGGGCATCAATATCTCGATTTTCTGTGCTATAGAAAGGCAGACTAGCAATATACTTTCTTGATCAGATATTTCCTTGAAGGGTGGTGGGCATCCCGAAGGGAGAGTCAGACATGCGCCCTATCTCTGTCGGATCCATCTTGGTCAGACGCTGGCTCACTGCGCTCGCATCGGCCATTCCACGGCCGTGTGAGAATCGATGGGCAGGAAAGCGAGGTGTCAGTGTGGTGCACGCTATTGCAAAGTGGCTCTCGGATGTTACGCATTCGGATGCGGGTGCTGCTGAGCTGGATCTTCCGCGGGCGTACGACTACATCGATCATGAGATTGGTGAAGCAGCTCTCCTGGCCCGTGCTACTCCCGACGCGGTGGTCTACACCGCAGTGGCAGCTTGGGCAGGGACTTTGAGTGCTGGTGGGCATTACGCGTCACCAGTATACCCCAGCCAGGGGTCTCCCGCAGGGGGGGGCCCTGGAGCACCACCGGGTACGACTGCAGTCCTCACGCCCTGGCAGCCGAACAGTGGCCAGGCGTACATGGACGACCGATCGCTCGTGCACATGAGCGCAGATCGTGTCCAGGACTGCCTCAACACGACGGAGAAGTTCGACAGGGAGTGCGGGTTCGTTTAGAACACGTCGAAGCGTCAGCTGTGGAGTGCAGCAGGCGACCCACCAGCAGCTGTCGAGCACCTTGGCATCAAGGCGAGACCGACGGACGCGGAGTACCCCATCTTACCAAGAAATGGAGGGGCAAAGATATACCAAGCAATTGAGACACTGGGATCAATACTTGATGGATCGGATGTGTGACAGAAGTACTTGCAGTCAATTATACCATACCGTTGCGGCATTGGGCTTCACCACTGCTGGCACCGCTCCCAGAGGATCTCCCTCGACGACTTCTTCGTGCGATTGTGAGGTCAGCGAGCAAATGGTGGTGTCAGGGAAAGTGGTGGACCCAGAGGGTACACTTGCACCCCCGACTGGGGGCAGCCCTTTACGCGCTCAATACTGCAATCCATGAGAAGCTTGAGTGGTCACAGTTCGTCGAGGCGGCGATGGTGGCACATTGTGCTGTATCGGGATTGCAGTTTGTGAGATGTTCAGAGCAGCAAGGCTATCTCATTGAGGTGAGGTTGATGGGCGATCATAGAGTAGTAGCAACAATGTCTCAATTCTTTCTGTCTGGTACATCACGCTTTTGGACGAGAGGGCCACAGCAGGAGCGGTACCGTGGGAAAGTGGAGCATGCGTTGAGAACAGTTGCAAGAGTGACGTGTTTCAAGCAGGTGGTGCCCAAGAGGAACGACGCGGACGACATCGATGAGGTGGATCCGCACGTCGCCTCCCGTGGTGCTTTCAGTAAGTGGGCCAGGAGGCTTCCAGATGCCAAGAAGTTGCTGTGCATATACTTGTCGGGAGCTGTCTCATCCGAGACAAGACGGCAGAACGGCAAGCCGTGCAGTCACTGCAATGCTACTTGGCCATCGTTCAGACACGTGTGGGCCGAATGCCCTGAATTCAACCAAAAAGCGAACCTTTCCGTGTGACAACTTTGAGTTGGACCCTTCCGTCTGGGTCAGCATGCAAAAGTGACGTCGAAGAGCGGATGGATCACTCTCTCCCAGGCGCAGACACTTCAAGAGAGTGCCATCATGATGAGGGCAGCTTGTGAGCTGGCCATCCATGTCATGCAGCTCAATCCCAATCAACGCCTACATCCTTTGTATTAGCCCAATGTGATGGGTTTACCTCTTTGTTAAGGTGACCTCAGGCACCATATTCTTCTTTATCAGCATCAGCATCACCATCTGTATCATCATCGATAGCAACATCATTGTCATCAACACCACCATAACCGCCATCAACATCAACATCATCATCATCAGCATCATCATCAACATCAACATCAACATCATCACCACCATCATCACCATCACCATCCCAATCGCTATCACCATCAACACCGTCATCATCACCATCATCATCATTACCGCCATCGACATCATCATCGTCATCATCATCATCATCATCATCATCATCATCATCATCATCATCATCAGCATCATCATCATCATCATCATCATCATCATTATCGTCATCGTCATCGTCATCGTCGTCATCATCATCATCACCACCACCACCATCATCATCATCATCATCATCATCATCATCAGCGCCATCGTCGTTACCGTTTTCATCCCTCACACGTTTAGTGGCCCCGTAAGCAGCTCCACCGAAGGCCCCATCGGGGTTCGCATGGAGCCACCGCAACCTTTTCGGCACACCCCTCACACGTCTCGTGGCCCCATAGGGAGTTCCAACCCAAACCCAAATTCTAGGGTTCGCATGGCGGCCTGTCCCATTTCGTAACGCCTTTTCACTCGTTTCGGCCCAGTAGGGGGCTCCAGCTAAGGACCAAATTCGAGGGTTCGCACGGCGACGCCACCTCATTTCGGCACACCCCTCACACGTTTCGTGGCCCCATAGGAAGGTCCATCTAACGCCCAACTGCCAAGGTTCGCATGGCGGCGCCACCTCATTTCGGCACAGCCCTCACACGTCTCGTGGCCCCATATGTAGCCCCAGCCAACTAAGGCCGAAATGCCAGGGTTGGCATGGCAGCCCCACCTCATTCCAGCATTCCAACCACACATTTCGTGGCCTCACAGGGAGCTCCAACCAAAGCCCAAATGCCAGGGTTCGCATGGCGGCACTGCCTCATTCCGGCAAACACCTCACACGGTTCGTGGCCCGATAGGAGCTTCAACGAATGTTCCAATTCCAATGTTCGCATGGCAGCCCCACCCCATTTCGGCACACACTATTCAGGGCCCCGTAGGTTGCCCCATCGACGGCCCCCATGGGGTGGGTTTGCATGCGGTCCCCGCCCCATTTCGGCACACCCGTCACACGCTTCGTGGCCTTATGGGGAGCTTCACCGAAACGGGTACCCACAATGCGGCACTCGCAACTGCATCTGTTGCGTCCTTCGCCAAGGGATGCTTCGGCTTCCGACCGCCCCAAACAAAAAAAACGACGGCAACACAAAACGAAACCGAACCGACAACGGTGCGAACGCGAATCCCCAAACGGAGCACAAAGCACCGGCCCCGTTAACGGGGCCACACAGGCGACGATCTTGAAAGCGGGACGAACGACCACAGCGTTTCTTCAGAGCCCCGAATCATCAGGGGTAACTCGGGTCAGGGCTAACTCGGGCTCGTTTTCCGGGAATCCGAACCCGAGTTGCCCCGGGCCCGAGTTACCCTGCATAATTCGGGCGTCCAGAGCCCCGAATCATCAGGGGTAACTCGGGTCAGGGCTAACTCGGGTTCGTTTTTCGGGAGTCCGAACCCGAGTTGCCCCGGGCCCGAGTTACCCCGGATAATTCGGGCGCCCAATTTCTAACATCTAGGCGACGGGCTTCTCGCGGCAGAACGCGCCCACGAAGTGGAAGAACGTGTCGTCGCCGCAGCCGTGCTTCACGGCTGCGGAGGCCAGCTCGGCCACCTCGCGGCCGCCGCACTGCGCCAGGCGGCACCACGCGAAGGCGCACAGCGCGTCGATCACCTCCCGGAGCGCCAGGCGCGACGCCTGCGCGGCCGCGATGCCTGGGGGAAGAGCAAGGCTGCACGCACGCGCACACACAGACACACACACACAGACACACACACAGACACACACAGACACATACAGACACACACACAAACACACACAGACGCACACGCACACGCACACGCACACGCACACGCACACGCACACGCACACGCACACGCACACGCACACACACACACGCACACACACACACACACGCACAAAACACACAAACACACACACACGCACACACACGCACACACACACACACACGCGCGCACACGCGCACACACAAACACACGCACACGCACGCACACGCACGCACACGCACACGCACACGCAGAGACGTGCACACGCGCACGCACACACACACCACGCACAACCACGCACACCCACACACACGCACACGCGAACACATACAAACGCACACGCACACACACACACACACACGCACGCACGCGCACGCAGGGGCACACGCACACAGACGCAGACGCAGACGCAGACGCAGACGCAGACGCAGACGCAGACGCAGACGCAGACGCAGACGCAGACGCAGACGCAGACGCAGACGCGCACGCGCACGCGCACGCGCACGCGCACGCGCACGCACACGCACACGCATACGCATACGCGCACGCACGCGCACCCGCACGCGCACACGCACGCGCCCGCGGCCGTGCCCGCGCCCGCGCACGCGCACACGCAC